CACACACAAAGAACACCAAATATGCAAAAAATGTACATTTTTAACCAATGAAAATAGCCACTTAGCGACAACCTAACAAACAACAGTACCACCCTATCAACCACTTAGTAACAAACTACAAACAGCAACCACCCAGTGAAACCCATACAAATAACCTAACAACACCCTAGCAACCATGCTAGCAATGCTTTAACATTCAGTACACCTTAACACATCATCAAACATCAAAACCTGTCAAAACCATCCAAAACACCCTAACAAAAAACAAAGACACCCTAGCAATGGTCTAAAATCCTGTACACCCTAGCAACCCCCTAGCAACACTCTAACATGCTGTAGAAACGCCCCATTAAACATAAAGAACACGAAATATGCAAAACATTTTTATATTTTTAACCGATGACAATAGCCACCTAGCGACAACCTAACAAACAATAGTATCACCCTATCAGCCACTTAGCAACAACCTACAAACAGCAACCACCTAGTGAAACCCTACAGACAACCTAGCAACCATGCTAACAATGCTTTAACATTCAGTACACCAACACCTCATCAAACATGAGAACCATTTACAACCACCAAATAACACCCTAACAAAAATCAAAACACCCTAGCAACAGTTTAAAATCCAGTACACCCTAGCAACCCCCTAGCAACACTCTAGCATGCTGTAGTAACGCCCTATCAACCACAAAGAACACCAAATATGCTCAATTGTTTGACATTTTTAACAAATAAAAATATTATTGATCATTCAACTGGACACCAATCAAATTGAACACTAGTACTAGTGAACATGGCTTTAGGGTACATGTGCAAGTATGTAGATTAGACAGCATGTCAGATAAAGTCCACACTGATGCCTGTTCTGTATATCTGAGTGTTAAAGAAAGCCGGTTGTGTGTTACTTTTCTATCAGGGTGGTTTTATAACCTTTAGACCTCCAGAGCTGAACCCACAAGCCTCTTGAGAGCACAGACACATTTTGTTCTCATCTGAGGAAGTGGTTCAGGAGCCACCCATCTAACTTCCTGTTCAGCTGTAAACACACTGCCAGCTGACTAGACTACAATGCAATACTTCATTTTTTGGCTTTTGCAATGTGTATTGTTGAATCCCCCAATGTTTGTTTATTTTTATTTATTTTCTTTATATTGTTTTTCATGTTTATTGATTGTTGTTTTGCCTATTAGATATTGTATATACAGTGCTCAGCATAATTACAGCCCTTAATAATAGTTTTATCCATTTCTTAATTAATTTAGGCGATGTATTTTGGTGTATTTAAACAAAACAGATTTATTAAACAGATATATTTATTAAAATAATATTTTAGTCACCAAATATATTTAATTGAAAGATAATACAATTAAATTCAAGGTAAATATTGCACAAAAAAAATGATAATAATAATAATAAAATAATAATAATTAAAACCTACAAAATTTCAACTAAATTTTATTTAAATATGTTTTTGCTTCTTTTGATTTTTCCTCTTTTCTAAATTTGTATTTAATATTTTTCTATAACATATAAAGTTGGCTGTACTAGGACTGCTATCGTAAGTTATGTTGTTAGATAAGCTCCAGATTTGGCTTCAGTACTGACTAATCTAATGTACATGCACAAATATAATATTGTAAGGTCTCCTATTAAAAATATGAATTTAAAAGAGAGATATGTGAGGGGTGTACTGATATGCTGAGCTCTGGATATGCTTATATATTGAATAAAAATAACTTGTTTTATTCTACAATATTAAATTAAATTCATAATGCGCCGAATGTGGCATAAGCTTAATGTCTACATGGTTTAAAAGTTTAAGGTACTTCTGCTGCAGTTCAAGATAGGACGTATGAAAGGAATCATGCTTGTGTTTTGATGGTGTAGGGCGTCCTCTATTGGTGTTCAAGTGCAACTACTACATTTATTTATTATTTTACCGCAGTACTGCACTTTGTTCCAAATCTATAGGTTTTTTCTACTGCTGTTAAACACAAAATAATATATTCTGAAGAAAAAAATGTTGGTAACCGGTTGCATTGACATCCATAATAGGAGCAATACTATACACGCTCAGAAATAAAGGTACTTGAGCTCTCACTGGGGTGGTACCTTTTCAAAAAGTACACATTTGTACTTTAAAGGTCTATATGAATACCTCAAGGGTACATATTAGTACTTAAAAAGTACAAAAGTGTTCCTCGTAAAATTTGTAGGTACTTAAATATACTTTTGAGGTAACAATATGGACCATTTAAGTACAAATGTGTACCTTTTGAAAAGGTTCCACCCCAGTGACAGCATTATTTCTGAGAGTTTATGGAAGTTAAACATTTATTTTTGGGCTTTACTATGTACCCTAGTCAAAAGGAAAGTTGATTTTATTATTATTTATTGTTTATTAACAAAATTCTACATTCATAAATGTAAATTTACCAATAAGAAACAGAATTTTAAGGTATTGATGACTGGATTATGCTTATATATTAGTAGTATCAGAGACTATCTAACTAAGAAAGCCCTAGGCACTTTAAAACTTTGTGAACTATACAATGTATTTATTTGATTATTACATTTGTACATTTTGTAAATAAAGTATACATATTAAAATTAATGAAATTTACAGGCCACAGAATGACTTTATACAGTACATGTGTAACCCTGCCGGTCCTACTCCCCCCAACCCGCTCCGAGCCGGTATCAAACCGGCGACCTTCCGCATAGTAGTCGGTTGCTCTATCAAGGAGGCTAAAGACCATGGCCTCTAGCATCTGTTGCTAGAGCATCTTTAGAGGTCAGAGGAGTGATGTTTACCTGCACAGCACCTACTAGCTGGCCTCCGTTACACTCATCCCCACTATACCTCACTCCCATCCGGGTCACGGCACCAATGTAACCCCGGCAGGCCTACGCCACCCAACCCGCTCCGAGCTGGTATCAGACCAGCGACCTTCCACATGGTTGTCGGTTGCTCTACCAAGGGGGCTTAAGAACATAACCTCTAGCCTCTGTCGCTAGAGCACCTTTAGAGGTCAGAGGAGTGAGGTTTACCTGCACAGCACACACTAGTTGGCCTCTGTTACACATGCAGCGTCACATACCATGTTCAGGATGAAGCCTCTGGAGAGTGTGTTGCACAGGTGTTTTTTTTTAATAACTAATCCCTTGATTACACCTTTGGTAATTCTTGCTCAAACATCCAAAACTCCCTTGCAGCACCCTAACAACACCCTAGCAACCACCTAGCAACACTCAAAAATCAAGAACACTATAGTAACCACATCAATCATCCAGAACTCCCTAGCAACCCACTAGTACTACTTCAACATCCAGTACACCTTAATAACACCCAAACCAAACATTAAGACCATCCTAGCAACCACTTAGTGACATCAAGAACACCAAGAATCAACAAGCATGAACACCCTAGCAACAGTCTAAAATTCAGTACACACATCATCGAACACCCAGAATTTCCTAGCAACCAACTAGGAACACTTTAACATTCAGTACACCTTAGTTACACCCCCATCAAACAACCAGAATTCATTTGTAACGATTAGGAATGCTTCAACATCCAGTACTCCACCAACAACAGCCTAGCAACCACTTAGCGACAACCTATCACACAACAGCAACACCCTACCAACCACTTTAGGCTCCCAGCATGGCTAGGCTGGTCAAGCTGGTGTTAGATGGTCATATGGCCAATACCCCTCTAAAACCAGCCAACCAGCCTAGGTTGGTTTAAGCAGTTTTTTTTAGCAGGGTTGTGCTTGCAACATTCTTCAAATGATCTACTTTTGCACTAAATAGAAGAAAAAGAAGAAATAAGTGGAGGAGGAAAAACAAGTAATGACAGAAATTTCATTTTAGGGAGAATAGCCGTTTTTTTAGGGGGTTAAGAAAAGGTGCCGTCAATAATACTAATAATCAATTAGATTTATAAAACATTAAATAAAATGCTAAATAAAAGAATTGTTCTGTTACCTTACATGACGTAATATTTTATATAGTAGCTACATTCTACCAGAAATGTACACATTTACTTATAAAAAATGTGACGGGGCCTGACATTTAAGCTTGTCGTCCTAAAACAAATCATACAAAAACAAGCATAAAATAATTTAATTCAATTATAGAAGGCATCCTTGATCAATGTCAGCTTCTCCTTCATCAAATGATGTCACTTCCGAGCATTTTAATGCAAATCTGACAGAAAAATTGGGACAATTGTACATTTATTTGTATTATATGCTTGTAGTATTTATTTGTAGAATTTATTTATAATTGCATCTTTTTTAATCAATTGATGTGAATGATAACAACTTCAATTTGGCAATTTTTGAGGTGTTTTTTTGAAGTATGTTTTTAGCATTACAAAACTATTAAAGTTGTGGGTTCAATTGGGTTGAGGGCAGGTCTTTTACATCTGGAAAGTGTTTAAATAAGCAAAAACAATCTGAGAACCAAATGAATGACTCACAGAAGTCAACCATCAGATTGGATTTTTTTGGGGGGGGGGATTAAGTGCATTGTATTTACTGTATTTTATTTATTTCAGGGACAGATAATGTACGTTTCTCGTAGAATGTCCCATATGTGTTTATATTATTGTGGTTTTATATTCATACTATTATGGATTTATAGGCTATTGTTGTGCATGATAATTGTGTATATTAACATCATGATACAATATGAATATACCTATGTGGCAAATAATGTACACAATGACTATTATATTACACCAGGCTAGATATAAGTGTTGACGAAAATCGTTTCACATAAAAAACAACAGAAAAGAAAAATACGGCCGCCGTATTGACCGCCATCATTCAGACCGCCCATTTTCAGCCCAGTCCACCAATAACACAGGCTCTAACGCAAGACTCTTCCTGAACAGCCAATCACAGGTACCCTCATGATGACGTTTCCACCTCGGCAGCCAGTCGGAAACGTTTCCCTGATAATCAACTAGCACCGCGCCGACGACTGTTTGCTGGCATTAGCCGATTAGCGGGACTGCTGAAGCCGATCTCTAATCTTGTTTGACGAATTTTAATTAATTAGAATCAACACTTTTATTGTCGGACTGCAGAAATGAGTCTATCTCTCAGGTAATTGTGAGGTGTTTAGTCGCTAACTGTGGGTTAGAAACCCACTGATGCTGCGAGTTGCTAGCCTGTGTATGTAAACCGTTGACTCATAATATTAATAACAACAGTTGCTAGGGAGATAAATAAAGTATATATTCTTTATAAAGACTATTTAAACAATACTGTATTTCATATTGCTTTATAAACACAAACATCAAGTATTCCGTCAGTTTATAGCTGTATATATTGTGCATATTGAAGTACTGTGATCGTCATATGTGAACTCATATTGTTAGTAACAGACAGTAGTTCCTAATGTGATTTAATTAAGTATATAATATGAAGAGAGACCATTTTAATGATGATGTATTTCGTATTGCTTTAGAAACACTAATATCAAGCATTCCGTCAGTTTATAGCTGTATATATTGCATGTACAAGTATTAAATGTACTGTGAGCATCATATAATTCGCATGCAAGCATTTGTATGTGAATTGTTGACTCATACTATTAATAACAGTAGCTGCTAAGGAGATAAATCAAGTGTATATTCTGTAGAGAGATCATTTAAACCAGGGGTGTCCAAACTCTGTCCTGAAGGGCAGGTGTCCTGTAGATTTTAGCTCCAACTTGCCTCACACCTGCAAGGATGTTTGGATGTGATTGGGGTGTAACTAAACTTTGCAGGACACCGGCCCTCTAGAACTGAGTTTGGACATGCCTGATTTTTTAACAATGTTGTGATAGAGGTAAAGTTGGTTTTATATTCGCACATTCGTTCATTTAAAAGTCCCTATATTGTTTACCATGTTACTTTGAATATTCGACCGGAATTAGCATGCAAGTGTGGCATGAAAACAACATTTACACTGTTTATTTGACTGTGAACAATGTTGTACTTTGATAGTCACTGGCTGCTAATGTGATTTGGCTATTTAGAGTTTGCAAATAATAATAATTTTATGAAATTATATTATTAAGGGGAAAGTCTGAATGTGCGAATATAAAACCAACTTTACCTCTATAATGTTGTGTATTGCTTCAGAAACACAATTATCACGCAAATACTGATGCATCGATTATAGTTTTTGGTTGTTCGATTATAGTCTGAGGAATAATCACGGTTTCAAGGTTAATATGCATTTATTGATTTTAAAACTACTCGTTTCTTAAATCACATGAAAACTCCTTATATTTAAAGTGTTATTTATTGCTGCTCAGTAACCAAGTAATACTTTACAACACAAAATAATAATAAAAAACTAACAATAGTTCATTTCTCTTTGGACTTAAAAATAAGTATAAAAAAGTTTATGACATTTAAACAAGTAATAATTTTATACTGAAAATAAATAACAAAAATAAATGAATGAGTAAATGAATTATTTAATTAAAAAAACGAATGAATAAATAAATAGTATTTGTCTTATGAAAATCTATTATAAGTATTTTCTCATGTATATGTAAATATTTCCATTTTAAAGAGACAAAATGTAGTCAAAGTCTGCTGGATGTCTGTCTGAAAGGTTCTTTAGATCAACAATATTACAAAAATGTTTGGTATTATTATTATTTTTTTTCCTTTTTGGATGCAAGAATAAATGTGTATAACAAGCGCAAGTGTGTTGCAACAAGCACACGTTGCTCCCAATATGCGAGCTCAAGCTGCACATACAAAAGATGGAAAATAAACAGCCCTTAGTTAATAGCATCAGCCATAGTTAAACCTTGTGTGCGTGTGTATTAAGCTCGGAACCTTAAATTAGCGCACAGTTGGCATAACTTTGTTTAGTTGCTGCAGTTTTGTTCTGTGCCACGGTGTTAAGAAGCCTTTACGATTAACCTTGAGGAATTTAAAGGGCGGTTAATAGTGAAATCTGTTAATCATTGCATCCCTACACGCAATCCTTACTTTTATATCTGCAAATATTTGCATATACAAGTATTAAATGCACTGTGAGCGTCATTTACATGCTAGCATTTGTATATGAACTGTTGACTTAATATTAATAACGATAGTTGCTAAGGGGTAAATTCTATAGAGAGAAAATTGAAACAATCCTGTATTTCATATTGCTTTAGAAACCAATATCACGCATATTTATTCATTTTATAGCTGTATATATTTAGCATATTAAAGTATTAAATACACTGTGAGCATCATATAAATGCTAGGATTTTTATGTAAACTGTTGACTCATAATATTAATAACAGTAGTTTCTAAGGTTTTAAATCATGTATATAATATATAGAGACAATTTAAACAATTATGTGTTTCGTATTGCTTTAGAAACACAAACATCATGCAATCCTTTGTTTCATAGCTGTAAATATTTGCATATACAAATATTAACTGCACTGTGAGTGTCACATACATGGTAATTTACACTAGACCTCACAGTGTTGTGTTGAGATTGTGATTGAATGGCACTGTACGTTCATACTGATGACTGAATGTTTTATTTATGTGTCTTCAGGACTGAGCTGACTGCTGATAAGAGTAAAAGGAAGAAAAGGAGAGAACTCACTGACGAGCAGAAGGATGAAATCAAGGAGGCCTTCGAGCTTTTCGACACAGACAAGGATAAAGAAATAGATTATCATGAATTAAAGGTGAATCCCTCTTTCCAAAATCTGCATTTGTTTGTGATCAATACTTCAATTGAACTTTATTTTTAATGGGAGTACACACAAACTCGCTCAGTGAAATTCCAGAACCATCCTTAATAGATAAACTGAGACTGAATTTTATAAGAAAATTACACTAATTGCAAAATGCACCACTTATAGCAGCCAGTTTATGTTGTTGGTAAAAATAGTTTATGCCAAATTTCAGATTTTTATATTGTTAAATCTTAATTGTTTGATATGGGGTGTATGCCGGAGCATGCTAATAGGACTTTTAATTTTTGTCAGTAACCTGGGTTAAGCGCTTCCGGCGAATTGAATGCCAATGCAAAATCCGGTGTGTTTAAGGTCTGTTTTCTTTAAAAATCAGCGATCTCCACTAGCTGAGTGATATCCGTTTTAAAGTGGGTGTCAGATTGTACAAGAAGCACTGCATTAAATTACATTTCCCCTGCCAAGTCTTTATAACATAAGCATTTATTTTACCCCAGTATATTCAATGGAGCTTCTGTGTTAGCCTGCCGATTCTGACGGGCGCGTGCGAGTAAACGGCTTTTTGACTCGTTTTATGCTTGTGCAAAACTAAGTAAATGCTAAAGTTTATTTAACTGAATGTATTTTAATGACATTACAACATCGATGCTGTAAAAGGAACCATATAAAATGGAAAAAAGTTCACAATAACAGGTCACCGCAAGTTTATCAGCATGGGAACAGCACTAGCTCGGCATACACCCTATTGACTCAGATTTCTGATCTTTTTCTGGCAGTTCAGGTTTACATCTTGTAATTCAGAGTTTTTTATATCTTACTTAAGATATTTAATCTAATTTTTAATCTTGAAGTTATTACACATCACAATAAAAAAATAATCACTATCATATACACTCACCGGCTGAGCTCTGCAGAAGAGCATCTCTGAAAACACAACACGTCCAACCTTGAGGCGGATGGGCTACAGCAGCAGAAGAGCACACCGGGTGCCGCTCCTGTCATCTAAGAACAGGAAACTGAGGCTACAATTCACACAGGCTCACCAAAACTGGACAATAGAAGATTGGAGAAACGTTGCTGCTCTGATGAGTCTCCATTTCTACTGTCGGATGGTCGGCTCAGAATTTGGCATCAACAACATGAAAGCATGAATTCATCCTGCCTTGTATCAGCGGTTCAGGCTGGTGGTGGTGGTGTAATGGTGTGGGGGAGATTTTCTTGGCACACTTTGGGTCCATTAGTACCAGTTGGGCATCAACGCCACAGCCTACCTGAGTATTGCTGCTGACCATGTCCATCCCTTTATGAGCACAGTGTCTCCATCTTCTGTACCTAATAAAGTGGCCAGTGAGTGTATTTTTAGTGCAGTTTTCAGAAGACGCCCACTAAAATGTTATTGAGCATAAAAATTGTTTAAAAATCTGAAAGTATTTTCAAAATTATTTTATATGCTTATGATCTAAAATACTTATAATAATAATAATAACTATTAAAATATTCATATTTTAATAACAAGGATATTTAAGGATTACAGTCTGCTCCCCAAATTAAGTTTTTTTTTTTAAATATTTGTTTAAATGTTTAACCCATTGCTCAGCAAGACAATTTTCATAATTTCAAACAGAAACAAAAAAAATAGTTTCATCACTTATTCTTTGATGTATTGTTAATAAGTACAGCTACAACTAGTGATGTGACGTTGTGCGCCGAGGCTTCGAAGCATGTATCAAAAAAACGATACATCTCGCAGTGAAGCAGTGTACCGGAGCTTGATTCGTTTTGCCATCATCACGTGATCAGTGACGTCCGAAGCTTCATTTTCGCCTTTACCCACGTGACTGCTTCGAATTTTGATTCAAAGGTTTAAACACCCTCATAGTAAAGTGTATAGCTAGAGAATTGGCGTCTATTACATACATTTGTTTCAAAGCACTGCACCAGTCCCAAACACCAGTAATTAAACTAAACTACAATAGTATTTTTTAGTAAAAAGGTTTTGAACAATACTAAAGTGTATTAGCGTATTTTTTTTATGACTATCTTTAAAGAAAACCTCCGCATATCGTAGTATTGTGTTTGACAGAGAGCATCTGGTGAATGCAACCTTGAAGCATCGTTCATATAGCGTCCTCCTAGAGTACTCGCCTCCCAATCAAGAATCCCTGGTTCGATCCCTGCTTGGAGCGGGACTAATAGTATTATGATAAACTTTTGAATACCTTGGATTTTACTACAATCATCAGTTGTGTAATGTAATATATCTTGTGTAAAAACTACAGTAATTGAGTAATTTGTTTATATTGCTGTTGCTGTATTACTACATGAATGAGTTGGTCAGTTGTGAACATTTGACATTATGGCAACACAGTGCTTTCCCACACTTTCACCAGAAGAGGTCCTCATCGAGCTCTGATTTAGAAAGCTTCGAGTAACGAACCTTTTTCCGATACAATTGAGTCGAGCGCTTCACTGGTTCAGAAAGCTTCATTTCACCATCACTAGCTACAACAATTACGCAGTTTCATTTTGAAATAAACATATATTGTATAATGAATGACACATATTTTAAAGCATATTTTTAATTTCATGAAACTTAAAGTGATTGCATTCAATATAGTCCCTTTTGTATGGAATAATGTTTGCGAATATTATTTGATGCAGACACTTTGACTGATATATTTAAACCATTAAATCAAATATTTTAATTCCATCAAATATTCATTTTGCAGGTGGCGATGAGAGCTTTGGGTTTTGAGGTGAAGAAAGTAGACGTGTTGAAGATCCTAAAAGACTACGACAGAGAAGGAACTGGCAAAATAAGCTTTGAAGATTTCAGAGAAGTGGGTAAGTTGAGTTCATCATTCAACACAACGACCATTTTGCTGAAATAAGAAGCATGCTCTGTGTTGATTTTTCCTCAAAAATGTGTGAAACAATATACAAGGTGTCATGAACTACCTTAGGTTTTTTTTATTGTGTGCTATTCTGTGATGTCTAATTATAATGTTGTCAAGATTAAAAAACATCAAAATTTAGAAGAAATTTACTATTTTCTTCTGTGCTGTTTTCCACCTTTATCAAAAGTTCTGTTTAAATGGATGTGGTTGACTGTAGACTCAAAAGTAAACACCCACTGCTCTGATTGGCTGACAATGTTGCATATTAATAGGGCATTGGAATAGAAGTGGGTGTCAATTTTCTGAGGAGGTGAAGCTTATCCACTCCATTACATCATAGAGAAGAATGTAGTTTTGTCATGTCCTGTCCACACGAACACAGGTTATTTTCAAAACAGTAGTTGTTTTTTAGTTGTGTTTCATTGTTTGTTCAGATGAAAACGCAGTATCAGTAGACTAAAACTGAAACTTTCTGAAAACTCCGGCCAGGTTGAAGTTTTTTAAAAACTGGCTACAGTATGGACTTACTATGCCTCATGTCATCATGTGCTGTTTACTCCTTTCTGATTGGCCAACATAGCTGGGATTTGCACGTTTGCGATAAACGCAACATACATTTTGTATTGTTTGCATCGTGGGACTGGACTGTAATCCACCCGTTTTCATGACGATTGACTTGTAAGGAATATACCAGGGCAAATACATAATGCTGTGTTTGGTGTGAACCCAGCATAAAAGGCTTTTTTTTTGTCAAATAAGTTTTATTTAGTCATTGAGTAGAACTACAGTAATCACAATTTCCAGGATTGTGTTATGAATGTATTATTATTATTAGGGGTGTCAAAAATAATCGTTTTTTCGGTGCACTGCGATGCAGACGCAGACAATTCGGTATCGGTTCAGTAATAATCATAACCGGTTATTACTGACGTCATTTACCTCATATGCGCTCTGTCGCGAGGGAGGCGATCGTGAGTATTTACAGCGCTTTAACTACTTAAAACTCATAAACTGTGCACAATTTCACTGTGTGTGTTTGCTGGATCAGTCTTTCACTGACATATACAACAATAGCCCCTATTTCACTGAGATCGAGAGAATGAAAGTAGCCTACTCCATTTCTCTCTCTCTCTCTCTCTCTCTCTCTCTCTCTCTCTCTCGTGCGCGCGCGCTCTGTCTCTGTCTGTCTCTCTCTCTTTCTCACACACACACAGTGGCCCATTTGACCTGCTGGCTTGGTTTTTCTTCTCTTCTCGGCTGTTTTACAGCGTTACTTTTGCATCCAGAAACGAGCGCGTGTCTGCAGAGTTTTCTCCACCGTGTCTATCACAGATCAGCTGTGAGATCGCCCCTGCCGCTTATCAGCATCACTCATCTGTGAAGAGCGCAGCGCGCAAGAGCCAATCACAACCATTTTTTTTGAGGGTGTGACCAATCAAAGGGGTGTAAGAGAACTAGACAAGGATCAGAGAGTGAGCTGGATATTTATATTTGTTTATATTATTTGCTAAATGCTCGTTTTGTTTAAAGTTACAGTTTATATATCTGACTTTTTGTATTACAAAATTACAAAAATTACAAAATTGTATTACAAATAGTATATAAATATAAATATATTCATACATTTTAATACAAGAACTGCTGCTGTGAAGAAAATATAAAACTGTGTATGGAAAGCACCGTCAATGCACCGAGATATGGAATTGAACCGAATCGATGGCATGATAATCGTAACCGAACCGAACCGTGAGACTAGTGTAGGTTCACACCTCTAATTATTATAGGATTTTTTTCTGCTATGCATAAACCCAGGTGAAAAAACACACCCCAACCCCAGCCTATAAGTCTACAAAACAGTAATAATCAAAACATCTTTTTAGGTACATTACATTGCTTTGGGGAAAATAATTCCCCATGAAGTGACAAAATAAATGCCCCAAATCTAGTGAAGTTGTCCAGTGTTTCCCTTTAAAAGCTATCTGCTTTATTCCAAGTGCAGAGTAGAAGTCAGTTCTTTCTAGCCTTACAACCCAGCTTATCCATCAGTTTTCCACCCTGAATATTCTGAATTGTATGAACACAGACCCAATTTTATCAGTCCTTTTGTAATTCGTATGAAACCCCACCTGAAGAATATGGGTGTTAATATGGAAAAACTTTCATCACCTGATTTGAGCCATATTCCTCCTTGGTGCAACACGAAAATAAGAATCTTATGGAACTTAACCAAACAGAAGAAGTCCTTGACTCACCCAAATGAATACAAACAAGAATTTAAACAAATAATAGACAGTCTCCCTCATCATGAACCCATATACAGCATACAGATGCATCAAAAACAGATAAAGGAGTAACATCAGCAGTAGTGTTTAAAGATGATGTCTTTGGTACTAGGATTCCAGGAGAAAGTTCAATTTACACAGCAGAAGCTTATGCAATAAAAATGGCCTTAGATCAAATTGAAAGGACACAGCGTCGTAACTTTTTAATCTGCACAGATTCCAAATCCTGTCTTCAAACACTTAAAGCCTAATTTATACTTCTGCGTCAGGTGACCGGCGTAACCCACGGTGCATGCAACGCGCGTGGCTGTGCATTTATACTTCTGCGCGCTGTCTCTGTCGGTCTGCTTTAACACTTTCGAAACGCTAGTTGGCAGTGAGGTGTAAATGTTCCTCTGTGTCGAGTTTCTTCGCTGCTTTTTGCTTTTCCTGAACACTTCCGGGATGTACAAGTGGCTCAAACTCGCTCATTTTGAGGCAGGAACCGGCAAACGTGCAACAACTTTAACTATGAGGTAAACGCAAAACAAAACTTTCCATCCGGAGCTCCTTCACGGGACTCCACACTTGTAAACAATCGCTCGCGCCATTCGCGCGGCTCTCAGTCCCGCCAGACTCGTCAGCGCTACCAAGCCGACCAATCACAGAGCTTACGCTACGCGTCATTGCGACGTGTAGTTACATTTTTTGAGAGGTGCACGTCAGTGACGGCGACGGCCACGGCGAAGGGCTATGCGTCAGCGCCGTAGCATACGCCAACGTTTGACGCAGAAGTATAAATCAGCCTTATGTGTGATCACCCCATAACGTCCATGATTTTAAAGAAGATGACAACACTGGAAAATCAATCTGTTGCATTCCAGGTCATATGGGACTACGTGGAAATGAACTGACAGATGAAGTTGCAAAACAGGCTATCACCTTGAATGTGACTGAATGTTTAATTCCTCCTGAGGACTTGAAACCCATCATCAATTTGTACAAAGAGAATGGGACAACTGCATCAACAAAAAATACCTGAAATTAATCCGAAAATAAATTAAAGACATTTAGTAAATTATAATTTTGAGACAAGGCATGATCAGACGGTCTATACCAGATGTCGGATTGGACATTCTAGGTTGACACATTCATATTTATTAAATAACGAAGAATCACCTAAATGTAATTACTGCCAGACTGCTCTTACCATCAAACATATTTTGTTGGAATGCAGAAGTTTAAATTCCATTAGACAACATTTTTATAAGGAGAGTACTTTGATGGACATTTTTAAAAACGTACCACCTGGAAGAGTTTTAAATTTTATATCAAAAATAGAGCTGAAAAATCATATTTAACTTTAAATAAATATTTGTGTGAATTCTATCTATTTCTATTTTATGCATTTTTCTAAGTAACTTTTTTTAGTTTAGTACGAGTTTGTTTTTTATCATGTAATATTTTATTGTATATCCATTTGGCCACGGAATAGCCATAAGTTGCTGATGTGGCAATAAATATGTAATAAATTTAATAACCTTTCTAGCCATAGGTTAGCAGTTGGAGGATTAAAATTTTTTCAGTACAATAATAGCAGCATTTTAGCTGTTATCAAACAATATGTAAAACATTTCTTTTGTGCGCTGCTCAATGAGTATGTATAATTTTATATGTATATCTCCTATTATAATAAGCAATGGGTCACGATCCAAGTGTAGATAAAGGACATCTGAAAGCACGTAAAAAAAACCTCATCCCAAAATCTCTTTATTTTATGACACAATACAAAACTATGAGCCTCTTCTGATCTGCACTTGTCATATATTGGAGGAAATCCTGTGTAATTTCTTCTTGGAGAAGTGTAGTCTATACAATGCAAGATAATCTATTAAAACAGTTCATTTGTTTTAATTCAAAAATTTTTTTATGCCAATTTGTTTAAATTGCAACATAACACACATTCAAACATGCATGGACACGTTTCGGTAATGAGAATTTCAGTAGAAAATGCAGTAAAATGATTAAAAATAAATAAATTATGTTGAAATTACACATTGTGCTTCGTAGAGAACAGCGTTGTCTTTATTATAATGTTTTTTTTGTTAACAAATTACAAAGTTTTATACTTAATCTTAAGTGCCATGTTGTTTTTTGTGTTTACATGTGAACAATGACTTTTTTTTTTTTTTAAGAAAAAAAAAATACCTGTGTGCATTAGAGCATGGCCTCAGACTGTCTTAAATACACGCTGATTTTAGAGGAAGTTTAAATCCTGAAATTTACTGGATTTTTATAGCACTGTGAGCTCTTGTATCACAAAAGTTCAAGGGAATTTTCATGACGCTTTTATTATACTTTTAAAGTGACAGACATGATATTGGAACGAGACCCAAAAGAGGAAATCCTGAAGGCGTTTAAACTCTTCGATGATGATGAAACGGGGAAGATCAGCCTGAGGAACCTGCGTCGAGTCGCTCGTGAACTGGGGGAAGACATGAGCGATGAAGACCTGCGAGCCATGATTGATGAGTTCGACACTGATGGAGACGGAGAGAGTAAGAGGCTGCGTTTCTATCTAGGGAGAGAAAAATGTGCTGTTTTTTTATTGCTTCTGATGAATGGAAGTAATTATGGTGCTTTTCCCAGATGCCTCAGTGCTTTTCTCAGTTAAAATACAGCAAATTAATGTATCGGAGCCAAACAAAAATGGCTGTTTGCATTTAGTTTGTAATTTAGTCAGCTAGGCTAATGTCAGTAAAAAGGATTTTTGTTGCATTAATTACTGATGCTTTTGTGTATATATATATATATATATATATATATATATATATATATATATATATATATATATATATATATATATATATATAGTTTTATTACCTCAGCTGCAAAAAAATAGTAATTTGACAAGTGGAAAAATTGCTAAAAACAAAAACCTTTGTATGCATTCATTTATTGTATATAAATAAATATGGCCATAGTGAACAAATACTTAAAAATTAGCTAACACCTTACAATAAAGTCTAATTCGTAAAGTATAGTTAATGCAATAAAATCAACAGCAGGGTTGCCAGGTTTTCGCGAACAAAAAATCTCCTTGGCTAATCTAAAACTAGCCTACTGGCAGATCAAAACTAGCTTATTTTCCGATCTAACTTGTGCTTTGGCCAGTCCAAAACTACCCACTGGTCAATCCAAAATCTAGCCCACTGGTCAATCCAAAACTAGCCCATTGGCTAATCCAAAAACTAGCCTATTGGCTATTCCAAAAACTAGCCCATTGGCTAATCCAAAAACTAGCCCACTGGTTGATACAAAACTAGATTATCACACTAGCCTATTGGCGGCCAATCTAAAAACTAGTTCACTGGTGAATACAAAACTATATTATTCATTACACTAGCCTTTTGGCCAATAAAAATAGTACTCTGGCCAATCAAAACTAGCTTATTTATCAAACTAGTTCAATGGCCATTCCAAAGCTAGCCCACTGACCAGTCCAAAACTAGTTTATCAAACTTGCCCATTTGTTAATCCAAAACTAACAAGCTTTCCAACCAAAACTATCTTATTTTTTAATCAAGGTAGACCAATGGCCAATCCAAAACTAGCTCATTGGTCACTCAAAACTAGCTCACTGGCCAGTTTAAAACTAGTACACTGGCCAATCAAAACTAGCTTACTGACCAATCAAAACTAGCCAAATTGCCAATTTAAAATGAGTCCACTGGCCAATCAAAACTAGCTCATTTGTTTAGCAAACTAGTTCACTTGCTAATCCAAAACTAGCTCATTGGCCAATCGAAACTAGCCCACTGGCCAGTTTATAACTAGCCTACTAGCCAATTAAAACTAGCTTATTTGTTTTCAAACTAGCCCACTGGCCAGTCCAAAACTAGTTTATTGGCTAATCCAAAACTAGCTTATTTGTATATCAAACTAGTCCAATAGCCAATCCCAAACTAGCCTGTTGGCTAATCAAATCTAGCTTATTTGTTTATCATACTAGCCCACTGGCCAGACCAAAACTAGCTTCTCAAACTAGCCCATTGGCCAATCCAAAACTAGCCTGTTGGCCAATCAAAGCTAGCTTATTTGTTTATCAAACTAGTCCAATGGCCAATCCAAAACTTACTCATTGGCCAATCAAAACTAGCTTATTTGTTCGTCAAACTTGTCCAATGGCCTATTCAAACCTAGCACTATGGCAAGTCCAAAACTAGCTCATTGGCCAATCAAAACTGGCCAAAATTTGCTTACTGGAAAATCAAAATAATCAGTCATTTTCAGTCATGTAATCTGGACTACAACATTTACATTTTGTTGTTGTGTTGATTTTCAGTAAATCAAGATGAGTTTATTTCCATCATGACCGGAGACTCCTGAGCCGCTGCGACCCTAGCACACACACTGATCTCATTCACCAACAGTAAAACAGCATTTCAGATCATTTCAGGAACGGTAGGTGCTAAAATCTGGACTGATGCTTGAAGTGAACTGGACGTGAAGGACGAAAAACATTTCAGGTCATGATTCAGTTGGTTAGATTGTGTTTTTTTATTGTGAAACTTTGTATTTTATCATTGCAAATGTGTCGCTTTGTCTTTAATATGAACGGTTTGTATTGTAGTTGTTCATGTTGCATTTGAAAAGCATTCCAAAGCACTATTTATTGTAAATATACAGTAAAAAAACAACTATTTTTGCTTTGTCTTTTTTACTAAAGACGTTGTCACAATCATTTTGTCTTCAGGTGGTCTGTGCTAATATGCTCATAACTCAATGCTCAGTACATCTTTATTTTGCTATTACATTATATTGCATTAATATTTTTATTTTGGGATCACAAGAATATTAATGATCCAATTCTGCACTTATTTTTCGGCAATATTTGTTCGATAAAGCCCATTTTTACCAGTTCAAGGGACTTGCCGCAAAAGTAATGATTAAATTAACAAAATAGGATAAATAATTTGCAAATAATTTTTCCAAATATGTATTAAAGTTAATCTGGCAATTACAAAATTCTCACCTTGATTTGAAATATCTTTGGGGTATTTAAGTTGGGTTAATCCATTATTCACTATAATATAATGTAAAATATATTAAATTATGTATTAAATGATAATAAAGAATTAGGAATATAGTACATATAAATGATATATTTGCATAATTTATAGTAAAATATAATAAATTTAGCAAAATTAACCAGATTAAAATTAATAAACTATTAATATTTTATATATATATATGTATTCATTCATTTTCTTTTCAGTGTAGTCCCTTTATTAATCTGAATGCCTAATCTAATGAACCGCCAACTTATTCAGAAAATGTTTTACACAGCTGATGCCCTTCCAGCTGCAACCCATCACTGGGAAACACCCATACACTGTCATTTACACACATACACTATGGACAATAGCTTACCCAATGCCCCTGTAGCGCATGTGTTTGGACTGTGGGGGAAACCGGAACACGAGGAGAACATGCAAACTCCACACAGAAATGCCAACTGACCCAGCCAAGGCTTGAACCAGTGACCTTCTTGCTCTGTGAGGCAACAGCGCTAACCAATGTGTCACCCCGCCACCCATATATATATATATATATATGTATGTATGTATGTATGTATGTATGTATGTGTATATATATATATATATATATATATATATATATATGTATATATATATATATATATATATATATGTATATATATATATGGGTCAGTGACAAAACAGGTTTGGCAAGATGGGAAATTTAAAAATCTTTTACAAAGTTGATTTAAAAGCATCCGTCAGATATTTTAAAATGTACAGATTGTATTCATGTTGATTTTATGTAATTAAAAATAACATTTACACCATTTTTTACAGACATTAAGACTGAATGCAACTGAAAATGTCAAATGGTGTAACTGCCAAAAATTGTGAAATATTAAATAATTTACTCCTCCTAGATGATATGCAAGTGTACACACTGAAATAAATACTTCATTTTAAAATACCACAATAACATTTATTGTATTCGCATTATCTCTAAATGTACATTTTAATGAGTTTTTGCAATATTCGGCCAGACACATGCTAAAAACACTTCTGGTTTCTAAATAATCTTTGACAAATTATGTAAAAAATGTTAAAAACTATTTTATTACACTAAACTAAGTGTTTTAATTTTAATTTCACATTATTTCCATGTACATAATTATATTTTTATGTAAAATACTGGTTACACCAATTGACAAAAACCAGTTACACCACCTGACAGTGTTGCTTCTACAGCCAAAGATTTTGAAATTGACAATTAAAATCAATTCAAATTAAGAATGATAGTCAACAATTTCAGTGGGATTGTCATTGACAAATGTGTTTAGAACAATGAAACCAGGTTGCTGAACTTTAATACACCAAGTAATAACATCCTTTACATTAAATGTGTGGCCCTCATCAATAGAATATTAACAAACTAAAGAAACATGTTTAACATTTAACACCTTTTCCATCACTGTTTCTTTTCAGTTGGCTTAATTAAAATTAAAATAAGTAGATGATATTAGAAAAAAATCCACTATTTTACTTTTAAGCTATTTAGAAACAATTTGCCAAACACTGTACGTAAATCACTAGTACGTAAGAACTGCTGCTTACTCGTTGTTGCCTTGGTGCTGGGATTAAAGGCCAATTTTTGTAAGCATACACGACTGACTGACAACAAATAATTTCATGAGTGTATCCACAACTTATCCACAAACTATTTATTTTATACAGTTAACTTCAGAATTATGCATAATTATTATTAGTCCCCCTGAGCTATTAGCTCCTCTGTTATTTTTTCCCCAATTTTGGTTTAACAGAGAGAAGATTTTTTCAACACATTTTCAACACATAATAGTTTTAATAACTCATCTCTAATAACTGATTTATTTTCTCTTTGGCATGATGACAGTAAATAATATTAGACTAGATATTCTTCAAGATACTTCTATACAGCTTAAAGTAGCATTTAAAGGCTTAATTAGGTTAACTAGGCAGGTTAGAGTAATTAGATAAGTTATTGTATATCCATGGTTTGTTCTGTAGACTATTGCGGGGAAAAAGCTTAAAAGGGCCAATAATTTTTACCTCAAAATGGCTTTTAAAAATTGCTTTTATTCTAGCCTAAATAAAACAAATAAGACTTTCTCCAGAAGAAAATTTTTTATCAGACATGCTGTAAAAAAAACCAAACAAAACTGATTTCAACTGCAATTCATTTGTTTAGCAACTTCTGACTTGTTCTTCACAACTTTTCATCATTAAAGTTCCTCCGAGTCACCTCCAGTTGTTAATAATAATAGTACAACAGCAAGCGCATCAAGTATGAAAACCTCCAAAACTTAAGGCTGTGTGCACTCAGTCTATAGAGGCTTGTCAACCTTGTTTCATTTCCCATGTTAATTTTTTCTTTTATTTAAAAAAGAAATTCCCAAGTGCTCTTTAACAGAGAGAATATTATTGTCAACACATTTCTAAACAAAATAGTTTAAATGACTAAATTCTAATAACTGATTTCTTCCGTAATCTTTGCCATGATGACAGCACATAATATTTGACTAGATAATTTGTAAGACATTAGTATTCAGCCTAAAGTGACATTTAAAAATGTAATTAGGTTAATTAGGCAAGTAAGATCTATTGGCCAAGTCATTGGGTAACTGTGGTTTGTTCTGTATTTAAGAAGGCTAACAATATTGACCTTAAAAACTGCTTAAACATTTTAAAAACTGCTTTTATTCTATCCAAACTAAAAGAAATAAGACTTTCTCAAGAAGAAAAAAAATACTTACAACATTTCAAAGGAGGGTGATTCAGTGGCTAATGTGGTTAGCACAGTTGTCTCACAGCAAGAAGGTTGCTGGTTTGAGTCCAAGATGGACCAGGATGGCTTACTGTGTGGAGTTGACATGGGTTTCCTCTGGGAGCTCCAGTTTCCCCCACAGTCCAAAGACTTGCGGTATAGGTGAATTAGAAAAACTAAATTGACTGTAGTGTATGAATGCGTGTGTGAATGAGAGAGTGTGTACATTATATTGTGTGAATATAAACATGGATTAACATAAACAAAAAAAAAAACATTCATGTTGTGCAGTAAAATAATTTTATCCTATGTTTACAGAGCTTTAATAGTAAGGTTGTGGATTAAGCACCTATTTCTCAAACAAAAATAAATAAATAATCTACACTATGAACACAAATAGTAGTTTAATTTATGTCGCATTTTTGATCAGCATCATGAACTAATGATATTTGACTAAATTGACCCCTGACAGAAAGACTCCTGCTATATGAGTCAAATGGTGTAACCAGTTACACCCCTTGACATTTCAACTTAAAATGAAATTTGACAGGCATTATCAATAACATCTATGTAAGCACATGGGCTTGGTGGGAATATTTCAAATTTAACTTTTAAATATAATACTTATTTTTATAATTATGAACAATTATCAGTGCATTTCTGGGGTCTTACCATTTGACATGCATATCTAAGAATAGCTGACCATACCTTAAAAAGGTCAAAGTATCTCACATTTTAAAAAGAGTTACTAACCTTTGCATGCAGCAATTAGTCTTATCAAGAGTTCTTCTCTGTGATTCAATTTCCTGTCTAACTGTCTTGTGCACAACATTAACAAAATGGCTCAATAAATAGTGGTTACACCATCTTGACATTTCAGAAATTTGAGGTGACAGAAAAAATTCCCCAAATGAATTATAATATTTAAAACAATTGTGCTATATTTACCTTTATTTACTATTAAATATGTCTAATGTAAAATTATGCCAGACTAGCCGATACAATGTTTCATTGAGGCTTTCACATTTTTTAAACAAGGTAAACTATTTGGTACCAATTTTTTTTGGTTACACCACATTGACATTCTTGCAATAATCCCCTAAAAATTTTCTTAAAATGGATTAAAACCAAAAAATTAAACTTGGTCCTCAAAATAGAGAATGTATGCAAGTAATTTGCTTATTTATTTTGAAACTGTAACCTACTTGAATTTATTTAAAAGACATGGACACAAAAAAATGAGCGTCACGTCATTGACCCATATATGTATGTATGTATATGTATATATACATACATACATATATATATATATATATATATATATATATATATATATATATATATATATATATATATATAAATTATAATAATAAATATTATAAAAGCATAATAAATATTGCTTTTATGTAACATTGATTTTGTATATAATTTTATATGTAATATATTTTCACAATTTAAAATAAAATATAATTCATTATGCTAAATTAATCAGATTAAAATTAAGAAATTTTTAATATATAATAATAATAATAATAGTAATATTAAAAGCACTTTACAAATAATAAATATTGCTTTTATGTAACATCGATTTGTATCTAATTTTAAATGTAATATATTTGCATAATTTAAAATAAAATGTAATCAATGCAAAATGAATCAGCTTAAAATAAATTAATATATTATAATAATAATTATAAAAGTGCTATACAAATAAATAAATAATACTGCTTTTATGTAACATCATTTTTGTATCATCAATATATTATAATTTAACTTAAGCTAATATTTACATGGTCTACAACAATCTATTATCATCATTTTAAAATGTATACATTATAAAATATGATAAAATAAA